GGGGGCAGGGCACTCATGGGGGGCTGGACGGGGGGGACAGGACAGCTAAGCTGGTACCTGGGGGTCCAGTAACCAAGTCCGGGGGCTCAGAAAGCATGTGGGCCACTTTTTTCCTGGGCTGCTTCCTGAGTTTGAGCTAGCAGCTGTTTGCAATTCTGCCACATTGGAGCCTTTTTAATCAAGGATTATTCAAAGAGCCTAACTCCACAGCCCCTATTGTCCCGGGAAAATTAGCACCTTTTCAAAGTCAGCTCCCAATTAGCACCTTTCCAAAGTGTTCTGGGGCTTGTCTGTAGCCCCAGGAGGAGGGAGGGAGACAGACCTGGGGAAGCCACAGTACAAAACAGTGAAAGATGGTGGGTAAAGAACAGGATAGGAACTACTTAGAAAAGCTAAATGTACATAAATCCATGGGTCTGGACTTAATGCATCTAACGGTACTGAGGGAGTTGGCAAATGTCATTGAGGAGCCTTTGGCCATTATCTTTGAAAAGTCGTGGAGATCGGGAGAAATCCTGGATGATTGGAAAAAGGCAAATGTAGTGCCTATCTTCAAAAAAGGGAAGAAGGACGATCTAGGGAACTATGGGCCAGTCAGTCTTACCTCGGTTCCTGGAAAAATCATGGAAGGGATCCTTAAGGAATCCATTTTGAGGCCCTTGGAAGAGAGGAAAATGAGTAGGAATAGTCAGCATGGATTCACGAAGGGCAAGTCGTGCCTGACCAATCTGATTAGCTTCTGTGATGAGGTAACTGGCTCTGTAGACATGGGAAAGTCAGTGGATGTGATATACCTTGACTTTAGCAAGGCTTTTGATACGGTCTCCCACAATATTCTTGCCAGCAAGTTAAGGGAATGTGGATTGGATAAATGGACGGTACGATGGATAGAAAGCTGGCTAAAAGGTCGGGCCCAGCGGGTAGTGATCAACGGCTCGATGTCAGGATGGTGGTCAGTTCTGTTCTAGGACCGCTTTTGTTCAATATCTTCATTAATGACCTAGATGAGGGGATGGATTGCACCCTCAGCAAGTTTGCGGATGACACTAAGCTGTGGGGAGACGTAGATATGCTTAAGGGCAGAGATAGGGTCCAGAGTGACTTAGACAAATTGGCGGATTGGGCCACAAGAAATCTGATGAGGTTCAACAAGGACAAGTGCAGAGTCCTGCACTTGGGACGGAAGAATCCCAAGCATAGTTACAAGCTGGGGACCAACCAGTTAAGTAGTAGTTCTGCAGAAAAGGACCTGGGGG